AGGTGAGTTTCTCATAGTTTTCTTCAAGTTGCAATAATGAATTCCCACCAGAACAGTAGGTGGTGCTGTTGCGATTATAGATTTCTGTCTGTCCTGTGTTTCCTCAGAAAGCTCCAGAGAACACCATCATGGCCTTCAACAGGAGTGTTGAGTGTGGTGTCACAGCCTTCGAGACTGATGTCCAGCTCAGGTACAGTGGAGTTCAATTATAACAGTGGCTAAATCCTGGATTTGATGCCTTCTCTGTCTGTATTTTGGCCTCTTTGTGTGTACTACGTGGGTTCTCTCTGGGTACTGGGTACTTCCGATTCCTCACATTGTTCAAGAACTTGTGCAGTATCTGCATACTGTAAAGTAGTTCCCACAATAGAAAACTGGGCGTAATCGTCTACATTATCCTTACCTCCTCTGAAGCTACAGTAATTATTTTACCTGAAAAACGTTTACTGCCAAAGAGGGCGCTGCTAAACTTAATGTCATGAGAAATGTTTGTCTGACACTATTTAAGTGACAATGAAGGATTCTTATTCTTATTCAACAAATAAATAGATATTTTAGAATGACACATACACATTGAGCTAATCTTATGCTAGCTACTTCAGTTAAAGGCCAGATCAATGATCTGCTCTGGTGACAGGTGACAGGTTGGTTAGCTTCTGCTAGCATTGTTTCTTCTGTGGTGGCAGACCTGAGTCTTAAGTAGTACTACGGTAGTTGTAAATGTTTCTAGTTGTACATATAAATGCATTAGATGCTTTACCTGCTAAAATCCATGTGTTATTTGTTTCTTTATTCTAGTAAAGACAGAATTCCTTTCCTGATGCATGACAACGGCTCTGACTTTTTGTTGAGAACGACTAATGTCAAGCAGAAGTTTCCCGATACCCACTTCAGCCACAGTGCAAACCTGACATGGGAGGAGTTGCAAAGTTTAAATGCTGGTGAATGGTTTGTGGAGGTGAGGACTCTTTATTAAATGGGGATTTATTGATTCCATTGATATTGATAAATTCATTAGAAAAACTGACTTGAGTTGCGCGAGGTGCAGTAAAAGGTGGTTCTCTCTGACGTTCCAGACAGATCCTTTTCATACAGTGAGGCAACTTTCGGAAGATGAGAAGAAAGCTGCTCAGAATCAGTCCATACCTTCGTTACTTCAGCTGCTCAACCTCGCCAAAGAACACAACATCTCTGTAATATTTGACCTCTATAGTCCCGACCAAGAGAATGATACTAATGACACCGTTAGAACCATCTTGAGTTCAGGCATTGACCCAAGTCTGGTAGGTCTAACGTTCATCACCTGCAGGTAACTGACGAAGATAATTCTTAAAATAAACATGGTTTTCTTAAAACGTTGGTATTTTCTTTTTCAGATCCTCTGGCTACCACCAGATGAAAGAGACGCCGTGAGCTTGGCTGCTCCAGGTTTCATTCAGGTTTATAACAACTTAAAAGAAATGCTGAACAAACGTGGAACCCACCTGAATATGAAATACAGCAAACTGAGTACAGAGGAGATCAGGTAAAAACACAAGCCTAAAAATAAACACTATCAAATTATCTACTGGCAGGGGTTAGGCTTGTTAGGCACGCTTACTACGTCAGTAAAAAGGGAATCTGAGGCATGCTGGGACAAAGTGCTGTCACTGATCTTTGAACGGAAAAACTCACAGGATCATCCTTCAGGGATATGATATATGATTCAAGTAATGTCCAAATCCTGAGTACAGCCTCAAACATGCATGACATAAAAGAAAAAGAAATGAAAAACTGGTTGAATTTTACTGTAACATTTCTGTTTTTATTTCTAATAACTTTTTTTAATATTAAGCTGATGTAACAGTTTATGAAAATGTAACAGTAAACTACATTTCCAGTGTTGTGTTTCCATTTTTTGTTTTGTTTTATCTGGTTAATACATCGGCAATTTTATAGACATAAAAAAAGTTACGGAAATAATTAATTAAATGACAAAACTAATTAATTCATAACTCCTTGTTTCCCTAATCAGTTTAGAAATCAGCTTATCTCATCTTTAAAAAGTGGATTTTCTCCACTGAACTCTGATCTCTCTGTTTCTGTGTCTGTTCACTGCAGAGAGCTGCGAAGCCACAACAAGACAGTCAACCTGTGGGTGGTTAATGAGCCCTGGCTCTTCTCTCTGCTGTGGTGTGCAGGGGCCAGCTCCGTCACCACCAACTCCTGTCACCTCCTCAGAGACATGGAGCGGCCCAGCTGGGTCATGGTGAGCAGCACAGACACATCCTGTCTGTTTATCTCACAGCAACAACAAAACGTTTGAATTCCTACAGACATTTCTTTGTCTGTTTCAGTCTCCTCTACAGTATAGGATAGCATGGACTGTGGTGGATGCTGTAGCATTTCTGCTGATGACTGCACTCTTCATCGTTCAGAGGTACTACGAGCTCTCTTCTGCTTTATTGTGTTTGCGTATTTGTAAAATCTTGACTTATTAACTCCACTTTTCCTGCCAGGACGACACACAGTCACAGCAGAGGTAAAGTGGATGAATTATCGAAAATTATTTTAAAACTAATAATTACTAAAGTGTAATGTCCATTTTTCATAACACCCGCACTTTATTATTAGGGTTAGCTTTAATGCAAATGAAACATATTTACAACACTAACATTCAACTCTTAATCTCTCATGATAACAACAAAATGTCTCGCTGTAGATTGAGAAGGAAAATAAAACAGGTTTAGTAGATTGCTAGCTGAGAACAGAGAGATGGTGTTACTTAAGCAGTAGTGATGATGATGATGAAGATGATATTAGGATGTGGCCAAAGAGTGCAGCGGTGCAGACGGTGATATGATATCGAATTGGGGCTTAATTTACAAAAAGAAATATTTTAATTCATAACTAACATAGTTTTTTAAGTAAATTATTAAATTTTGTGTTTTTTTAGCAGCATCAGTCTTTCATTCTTCACAACAGACAAAAAAGTTGAAGCTAGACAATCTGTTACAGTCTGACATGTCTTTTATCTCTTCAATAATTTAAACCTGAACATATAAAACTGACTGATAAAGTATCTGATTGTGACTGCTAACAAACGTTTGTCATTTACGGTAATCCAGAAAAAGAGAAGAGAGGAGACAATACTTCAGCCTGGAACGAATTGATGCCCTTCTTACCCACCGTGTAGACCGCGATTGAATCCAGGAGAACTTTCACTCCAGGAATGTCTGAATTACAATTCTGGAGGACGGATAAGTACAATTTATATGCATTACTTCTTTTTCTGTGAAAGAAAATCAAGTTGAATGTGAAATGAATTAACTGGTTTTATGAAATTGTTTTTCAATGTGTGACTTCTAAGATGTGACCAAGGTTAATAAAATTTCTATTTTTTACAAAAACCTCTAAGACATTGCTGGTGCCGTTAAAATGTATCTTTTATCTACTTATATTTTAAGATGTGACTTGAGATGTGAAATGGTTGACTTTATTCAAATCTCCAATTTTTGTACATGTAAGCTGTGAATAGTTTTTTTATGTACCTGAAGAAATATATTGTTACATATATTTTAAGATAAGCTCAAGCATTAAAACTTTTTCTTTCTTTTTTCTACTAAAAGAATAAGTAACAGGGTGTTTTGTTTTTGCAATTTCCTTTCTTTGCTGTATGCTTGAATAGTTTGCACTGATGTGTTTTTTTGTTTTTTTTTTACTTTTTTGTTGATGTTGTGATGTTGTATTTTAAGTGTCACAACTTTAATAAAGACGTTTATTTAGCAGTTCTTTTTTATTAGCCAGCATGGCCATGTTATAGATAGATAGATAGATAGATAGATAGATAGATAGATAGATAGATAGATAGATAGATAGATAGTACTTGCACTATCTTAATACACCACAAGATGGTGGCAAAACATAAGGGAAATTATTAACAGCGATTTGTGGATCTGGGAACCAATCTTCAATAAAGGTCAACATACCGATAACTTACAGGTGTGGTTGTACGTTGAACGTGTTATTACTGATGTGACAGAGTGGGAGTCCGTTTGTGTACCATGAATGTGTGTGTGTGTGTGTGAGAGAGAGAGAGAGGGCGAGAGTGCGCGTGAGTGTGAGGTGAAAGCGGAGGAGGAAGTACGTGTTACTCTCCAGGACCGTTTTCCCCCAAAAGTTCAGTGGAAAGTGGTCAAGAAGTAAACAGTGTCCTCTTGTGTCGTGTGTGCGACAGTTTGTGAGTGAGGGTGGGGACCACACAGCTGAGTGCAGAACCACTGGGAGTGTCCACGGACAGCACTTTAAAACTCAACATTTTACATGTCTGTGTGAAGGAGGAGCTTCAACTTGTGATTTTATGTGATTATTCCCGGATTACAGCTGTCCGTACTATAATTACAAGTATTATTTTTATTTATTTTTACTTCAAAATTACTTTTACATGACTTTCGGAGTCGGAAACAGCATGGTTCATAGATATGGTGAGTAACCGTTAACTTTCAACAACGTGACTCCCACACATCGTTTTGAAACGTCATTTAAACTCTACCCGTGTTTAAAGTTGTTGACCGTTCATTACTCCATCATACTACGATGACGAATTAATACTAAACGTTTGAAATGTTTAAGCGAGTCTCATTTTACTGGACAGTACATATATTTATTTATTTAATTAAAAAGTATTTAGACTGCAATTCGCGCGACTTCCGGTCAAACGGCTTTTTTTTTTTAACGTCAAGAGCAAGGTATTACATTTAAATGTTGGTATTGTTGTCCCAGTCACTTTAACGTAAATTCTTTCAATTCTTTTTACAGTATTTAATGATTTGTTACGATTTTTTTCACTGCCAAACTTTTATTGTATTTTTTTTGGAAGACAGAATGTATTTTATTTTTTTAATTTTGATGATATTTAATTGTACAATTGTACAACCTTTGTTTGGGAACTTAGCACAAAAACCAAATAATTTCACATGGTTAAAGCAGTTAAAATAATTCACCAGTTATTTGCTTGAGAAGTAGATTTGTTGATACTCTCTATCCATATGAGGACATATAGTACAGTGTTGTCAAAGAACAAAATAAACGTTTTCATCACAAAACTAGATGATGAAGTATTGTTAAGAGATACAGTACAGATATTTCCACAGTGCAACAGGGAAATACTGAAAATAAATCAGTCATTGTGGCTTTTATTTAGTAAAAGTTTACGCAAAAAGATTAATTACAGCCATGGAAACGTTAATAAAGAGATGTATTTCTACAAAATACAAAGTAAGTTCTTACATTAGCCATGTGATCATGATGCTAAAGCTAATCAATATGTATTATCACTACTCAGCATACCATCCATCTAGTTTTGAAGCAACATCTTAAGTCAAAAGGCACAGGATTTGTTGATTGATAATAATATTAATGCAACTATTGTGCGAATAAGCACTGAAGTAGTTCCTAGAGTAAATTAAAGACCCTACAATTCAGCTAGTTCTCATTGGTTGCTGATGTTTTGTTTTTTTTTATTTTGTATGGCAGACACAGAGCGGGCAGTGGGGCTGCTCACAAAATACCAGGCCAGCCTGACCAGTCCAGAGGAGCAGGCCTTGAAAACCAGCGTGGCAAAAGTGTCGTCCATTTTGGGAAGTGAGCTGTTCCAAGCTCTTCTTGGTAAGAAAACATTGCAGGTGCAAACACATTGGTATCGTCTTGATAAACTTTCTGCAAAGAATTTGGTGTGTTGTCAGGCACGGGACTGATAGGGTGAGGTTTTATACATTTTTGAAAAACGATAACTTGGTCTAAATCTTTCCTCATTAGGTCTTATGAAAGAGGCCTTTCAGTTGGCCTCACAAAGGTTTGCTGTATATACTCCTCTGTAATGCACTTAGATTGTAATGAAATACCAATAAATCCACACACACACATGCGCACACATTGAGTTTTTTATAAGCTCAGACTTGTGAAAATACAATTCCTCCTTGTTACCTAATACTCCATGGCTGGGTGTCAACATGATAGAGATCTGTGTTCGTATAAGAAGGAGCAGTGGATTGACCACAGAATCTGTCTCAGTCTAATGAAACTGCTGTGACTTGTAATCCTCCTGACATGTGCACAATTTTTGTTCTTTAAATTCAACTCACGTGAAGGGTGGTTGATGTTGGCTGCTCTCTTCACCTTCGTGACAAAACATGTCAGTAAAGTCAGTGGGTAGAGTATTTTTACCTCAGTCAAATGTCTCCAAATTGATCAATGCACTTAGAAATTACAATTCAATTTTAGCATGAATGGTTAATGAAATGATCGGATTATGCAGCTGTGTGGTTACGTGTGTAAGTGTTAAATCAAGATAAATCATTTTCACATGCGTTGCAAATGTGCTAGTTGTTTGTTAGTTCTTATTTCTTAAACACAAAAATGCATCAGTTTTACCCATGAGGTTCATGCTTCAAAGAGTGCCAATTAGTACATTTGTGTAATGTATGTTTTTAAAAAGCTGTACTTTTAAAAAAGATTTACAGAACACAAAATGTGTATTAAGTATAAAGTAATGTTAGGACAAAGAAGTAATACGATGTGTAAATTTATAAAATATTAGACAAAAAGTACATTTATTACCAATTATTAGTTTTATGATGTTTGTGGAAACATACAAATAAAAAATAAAAAAAAAATTTCTTTTTTTAAAGGAAAATAAAATGTTTGTATGTGTGTGTATACCAATTGTTAAAACAATTTAGTGTTTAGGGTTACATTTTGAAAAATTGACAACAAAAAACAGTGAAATCGACCTTAAAAGTGTTTGCAAACTGGTCACACTTACCCTATTGAAGGGCAATTCTGACTACATTTAACCACTGTCGTCACAAACACTGATCACATTAACAAATGACATGAACCATGCAGCCACAGTTTTGTCATAACAAATCTAGATCTTCAGATCTATGTGTTAACATGAATATTTTTATTTATCCATGTAAATATGACTAGTGTGCCTTTCAGTTTCTTTTTATAGCATAAAAGACACTTCACTCTTATTGATGGTTGAGTGGACCTTCTAATCACCACAGCTATGTTATAATGATGCTTGCCTTCGGGTCTGCTGATGCTGCTGCTGACCTACTGCTGCTTCACTGTCGGGGATCTGGGGGATGAGCTGCTCAGGCAGCTGTTAGTGGAATACAGCGGCTTTTATTTTTACTAGAAACGTGTTACAAGAAGAGTTTGTATCTTATTAGAAGTTGTGTTGTGATCAGCTTCATATTTTGGCCATATTTTAATATAAAAATTAAGAGAAGTAAGTAAGTAGTTGAAAAAAAACATATGTGGAGAAAAGAAACAGCTGATCATCAAAGCATGTAACCAGAGTATTCTTTTGGCCTGGGTCATACTTTTCTTGGCTCTGCTTCTTCGTGCACATTGAATGGAGCAGCTCAGTATTATGTGATCATGTGAAACTGACTGTGATTGTGTCACAAATTACAAAGCCACCCTGTCCAGGTGGTACTGCGCTGCATGTGTTTCGGTAATATAACTTGTAACATGTCAGTTTACAAAAGTAAATGCCTGTCAGGATCTTAGAAGTAACAGTATTGTGTAACAGTATAGTACTGAAGCCATCCTCTGAAGTACTCTACAGCTTTATCTTTGAGAGAATCTAATGATTCCAAATGCTGCGTCAGTTCTAACGGCCTCATGGTTTTCACATTCAAACATCTCCAGTAGACTTGAGGACACTTGGAGGTCTGGTAGGCAGAGTTCCTGTGCCCTGTGTCCACCATTCGAGTGTCAATGCTTGAGATGCTCCCCAAATGGGACAAAAACAGCTTCTTGAAAAAAGTCAGTTTTCTTATTTAAGACTAAAGGAGCTATGTCATGACCAATAGACATAATTTATCATGGCAGAGGACAGATAACATTGACTTTAAGTGACCTCCCAACTCTCCACTTTGTGAGCCCTCTGTTTTATTTTTAGTATAATGTCTCAACAGGCGTTTCAGCAATTACACATGAAATTGAATACAGACTGTCTGGTCTCCAGTATTCATGTAGTGGCACCATTACGTTAAAGGTTGAGCACGCATACATTTTGGATTAGTGTTTGTAAACCTAGTGCTTACTCTTCCTGCACTGGTTGTAATATAACTTTTTTCACAAATATAAAACATTCCTTTTAGTTTACATTAGTCCGTGCACCTTACGACAACCATACCTGAGTCAGTGGTTTAACACACCAGGACAATCTATCAAACAAAAACCAAATCGATGCTCGTTCATTGCTGCATCATATATACCTTGATATGTTGAATTGAGGGTGACTCTGAGAAGATCAGCCCTCCCAAAAAGAATTCCAACCATTCCACACCAAGAATGTACAGCCAGGACTAGCTAAAAGTGTTCTTTGCTGCAGTGCTAACACTATCTCTGAGTTCTCCTGGCTTTCTGGACCATCTGTGTAGCGTATGATGAGAAGAAGTCTCCTGTGGTTGTTTCTTGTCAAGTTCAGAGCCCTAGACTCCTCGCCTTTCACTTTTAACATGTGGTTCTCATCACAAAAGACAGAAAAGCAGCCGATTGATCGCACTAATTGCAGTGTAAACAGTCTTTTATTCTTGTGTTTCCGTTAAATGCTCAGTGCCATGTGAGTCAATTCTGACCAATTTTTGGTCAGTTGAAAAGTTCACAAAGTTTGGA